TTGTTTGTTTGTTTGTTTGTTTTCTCCCTCCTGACCTGCTCTAAATCCTACAATTGCTTTTCATCGTCAGGACAACACTAAAAACCTTTGAAGTGCATCAGTCTCCCTCTTGCTATACTGAACTTGTTGAAACTGCTCAGATTCATCTACTCTTGCTCCCCAGCTCCAGGCTTTTGCACTGCTATTCCCTCTGCTTGGACAACTCTTACACATATGCCAGATCTCAGCTGAAATGCCACTTCTCAACTTTTTCATCACACTCAACAACCTTCTAATGACCTGTGCCTGCCGTACCAGATGTGAACTGTAAGAGCCATGCGTGACTTTACTGCCTTATGCCCACGGCACAGCACAATGTCTGGCACACTGTAAAACCTTATTGAAGATCGCCCCCCACCTTACCCTCTCACGGGAGAGGTGCATTTGTACACATATACGTACACCGAGTCATACATAGAGACAATAACAGGGAGAGGAGGGCTTGAATGTGCTACAAAATCCCCCACAGGGAAATACCCTAAGCAGCTATAGCCTTCTTCTCATAGACAACTTCCTTAGTCTCCCAGCCAGAAAAGAAAGTTTCTTTCAATATAGCAGGGACCACAGTCAGAAATAAACATGTCAAGGAGGCTCTAGGTCACAAATGCTCATTATGTTCAAGCAGAGCTGATTATTTTCACTAAGGAAAGGCCCTGTCTTAGCAGTGGCCTTTCCTTACTTCAAACATTTCTGGAAGCTTGTATCATTAGTCTGCTAGGGCTGCCATAACCAAATGTCATAGACTGGGTGCCTTAGACAGTAAACATTTGTTTTCTCACAGTTTTGGAGGTTAGGAAAGTCCAAGGTCAAGGTTCCAGCCAATATGGTTTCTGGAAAGAGCTCTCTTCCTGGCCTGCAGAAAGCTACCTCTCACTATTGTCCTGGCATCATCTTTCCTTGGTACATGCAAAGAGAAAGCAAGCTCTTCTTTTAAGGACATTAATTCTATCAAAGCAAGGCCCTACTTTTATAACCTCATTTGACCTTACTTCCTTTGAGGCCCCATTACCAAATACAGCCACACAATCACTAGGGCTTCAACATAATTTGGGGGGGACACATACCTTCAGTCCATAACAAAGCTCAACTCCTCTCTTCTTTAATCCCAAAACAGCTGAGAGTCTTCTTATGCTTTCTGTGTTGGTGTACCAGCCTGCAAATTTTTCCTGCCAGAAACCTGCACCTATGTGTATATATTTCCTTAACTGGTAGCTAAGTAGCTCTAGTTAGGGAAACTAGCCATCCAGGCAGGAAGAAAAAGAGGCAATTAAAATGAGAGAGAAATAACTGTCAGAAAGCTAGGACTTATTAGGACTCAAGAAAGAAAATGAAGAAGAGTCAAAAATAGTTTAAATCTCATAGGATATGGCCCCATCCATCAAGGTGGTCTTATTTCTTGTAATTCCTGTTCCAATCCCACCAGTTATTGGCCATAGTAACTTGAGCAAGTGACTTAAACCTCTCTTAGCCTCGGTTTCCTCATCTGTAATACAAACTCATGGAGTAATTGTGAAAATTAAATGAGAATGCATATGAGGTATTAGAGCAGGGCATGGCATGTCATAAATGACCAGGAAACTTTAGTTCCATGTAGTTACACTTCCCCTCTCCTGTTCTCAGCAGCTTGCACATCTTCATCCTGGATTCCAAGTCCTTGCTCACGCAGTTTTGCCTGGAATACCCTTTCCGGTCTCCTCCACCTACACGGGCTTCAATGTCCTGTTTCTCAGCAATGCTTTCTCTGTACTAATATATTTACTGCCTATTCGACTCACCCTGATTAAGTAAAAATGTTGCTGTGGTAGTCAATCATTTTATGCCTTCAGAACTACTCCTGCAGGGAAAGCTGTTCCCTAATGTTTTGTGTGTTTTTTGGTATCTTATACAGTGTGACACTACACGTGTTCAATAAATCCTGCCTAAAGAAAGGAAGGGTGGGGGAAAGGTCTGGATTCTGAGCAATAAAAAGGTCACCTGAACCTTGAAGCAGTGATTCTCAACTATGGTTTTTCAGTATGCAGAGAGGTTGTACCAGGATTATCACAAAATGCTCTGTAAATTCTTAAAACAAGAGTACTTTTCATTTCTAAAACACACCCAATGTGTCACACAGTGCCTTCTGGAGAAAGGAGTGTTATGAAATCAAATAATTATAGGGGCAACAACCCCTCCCTCAAAAACGTTTTGCGATGCTTCTACAGGAGTGGTAAGAAGAGAAGCAGACAGGTATCAGAAGCAGCAAAGGGAGTGAAATATGGATGCAGAGCACAGAAACACTAAATGCCTGCTCCACACCAGGCACAAACACTGATCTTGTTAATTACACTGTCTGGGAAGTCCCATCATCTCCAGGTTGGCCTGACTTCCAAGCCACGCCTTTTCTCCAATCTGCACTGCCTATTTTGTTGATGAAAAGAGGTATTGCAATTGGAGATGTTGTGTGACAAAGTGAATATGCCCTCTGGCCAGCTTCCTGGAGGTAATACACTTTGCTGCTGGCAGGCAGGTGATGAACTACTATTGTTATTTTTTTGGAAGCTGGAGAGCCTCCAGAGGACAAGGATAGAAAGTGGTGGAAGGGGTGAGTGAGAGAGACGAGTCTCAGGCCTGGGCTGACAGGATACAGTTTAAGGGAAACATTGTCCTCACATATGCCCTGCCCAACTTACTAAGGTACTAGGAATCAGCACCATTAGGTTTTATGTCTTAAGAGCTTGTTTTCAGCAGGCAGTTAAGATAGATGAATTTCCTGGGAAGGGCAGTAAAAACAAGGAGTCCATCTATGTAAAAGACTAATTGGCTTATCAGATTAGTAATCACCTGAAGTGACATGACTGGAGGGCATCAGATGTGATGGGGGTGACAAGCGCAGGTTTAAAAACCAAGTAGAAAAGGTCCACAGCTTGAAGTGCATTTCTGAGATAAAAATAGGCACCTGGTGTGGATTGAGAGAAGTCCGGTAGAAGGGCACTAAAGGTAAATTTAGCCAATTCCAAATGTTGCCTTTATCAAGCACTGCCTGGAAACCTAAGTATGCTTTCACCTTCAGATATTAACTTAAGGTCACAAGGGTGAAGGAGACGACGACTGGGCATGAAAATCTGGACCAGTGCAGGCAACAGCTATACCTCCAGCTTCCAGGAGCCACAGAGTTAAATCAGGCACGAGAGATGCATTAATGCCACAGTTTTGGAAGGGCATTCTCAAAGACAGGCAGGTGGGCTTCTCGACAGCCCCTGACACCCGTCGCTCAGTATTGGCAGCTAAACAAGCCCCAAGCCCCACGTACCATCTCTTGACTCCTGAAAACAGGCTCTTTGGCGCCGGTCCAGCCTACCCATTCCACAGGTACAGTGGTAATTTCCGACTGCGCGGGAGGTTGGCGCTCCTAAACGCCAGCGTTGGTTCAAGGGTCAAATGTATAGTTTCTGTTCCTTCGGTCTAGAAGGGAATTGGCACTGAAGACCACCAGAGGGCGGTGTACAGCAGGGACCCAGCTGCTGTGAAGGAACAGCCGCACTGGGAAGGTCCGGCTTTGGGTAGTACCACCTACCTCCCACTATCTCTCTCCCACCCCACCAATGCCCTAGACACTCCCCTTTCCAGTACAGTCCAACCTCCTCAGACCTTCCATTCCTAACTTAGAGACACCTGCCTGCCTGGAGTAGAGGAGCCCGAGGTGTTGGAAGCCACAGGTTCCAGAAACACAGGCCAAGGAAGCAGAACCAGGAGTAATGGGAGAGGGGAGAGAAATGGTGATGGAAGCCAGTGGCAACAACCAGCACAGGTGATCAGGGAGGGTGCTAGGGTTGTAGTACCCATATGCCTTTGCTTGGAGTGCCTCTCTCCTCCCCATACACCAGGGCTAACGCTGTTCTCCACCCTCACAACCCTTCAGAAGAAATAGGTTCCAGCTATTCAGTTCTTCCGTCCAGTTTCTTTGTCTTGACCAAGAGTGGGGGGACTATCAGTTATGATTTAACTAGGAATTTCCATGGGTCACCAGTTGGTCCAATGATATCCCAGAAAACAAACAAACTTTGGTTCCATCCAGACCCCACACCAGGCTACGAGTAGGAGAGGGCTGGAATGATGTATGGCTTTGAGGGAGGGACCAGGACTTTACAGGCTAACAATGGGGTGGGGCAGAATTGAGTATCAGTACCCACAAAAGTCTCAGCTCCACCGGAGCCCCTGTGAACACAGAACGAGGCTCATGGGCCCTCTTGCTTCTTGAACAACTGGCCCTTGCAACAGCTGGCATACTCCTATGACTGTGCATGCAGAATACTGTCCCCTCTGGGAGAGAAAAGGGACCAGCAGCCTAGAAAAGGGCACAACTTTTTTTGGTCTCTTGCTGATTGATTGGGGCGTCCCCTCTGAGGGGAAGAATCAGGGCAGGAAAATCTGCAGGGGAAGGAGGGAAGGAAGGAGGATGTAAGGTATTGACTCTGGGTATGTCCCTTTCCTCCCTGCTCTGGAGGTAAATCACCCTCGAGATAGAGATGTTTTCCAATAATCCCCCAGAAGCTTTCCCTTTATTAGCCCACCTGTAGGAAAATGTCAAACGTCAGATTGGCTGACTGCATAAGACAGGGTTAACGCCATGCCCCAGCCCCTCATCTTGCCAGGCTAGGCAAGCAGATCATTATATTATGATTTATAAATAGAAAATAAAATAAAATAATAGGTTAGGGCTGAGGCATTGGGGAAGAAGAGGCAAAATAGCCTTTGTCAAGGAGTACCCACTATCAACTCCACCTGCGTAGGACCCGGGACCACTTCTTCAGTTGGAGGTTGCCCCAAAACTAGACAGTCCCACATAGCCTCTGTTTTTTCTCCCCATCCCCCCTCCCTCCCTTCCAGTCAACATCAGCCGCAGCCTTCAGCCCTGGATCTCAGCCCTCAGCCCTCATTTGGGTGGGCGGGCGGGAGCCTCGAGGTTTCTATGCCTACAGGGCTCAGCCCAGCAGCTCCTCCGCCAACCGATAGAGGAACCGAGAGTACCAATGCATGCCTGTCGGCTGGACAGCCCCTCCGGGAAGCAGCGCCCCCAGCGCGTGCAGCAGGCGCAAAGGAGCAAAGGCGCGGTGCGCCCACTGGTGACTCTCCAGAACCGCGTAGCAGGAGGCCAGGACGTCATTCACCAGCAGAGTCCCATGCGCTGTGAGAGGCGCGAACACGCCCACAGCTTCCTCTCGAGCCACACGGGCCACGCGTGCTGGCCGTAGCGCGTCCCCTCCCGGCGCCAGCACCGAGTCCCCCGCACGCAGCCGCCGCGCGAACACTGGTGCAAAGTCGCCTGGCGCTGGCGCTGGCCCTCGAGCAGCGAATACTAGGTGCCAGGGTGTGAGCAACAGTTTGCGCGGGGGGCGCTCAGTCTCCACAGCCACGAAGGAGGCCCTGCGCTGCAAGTCCCGGTCCAGGAAAAGCAGCACCGGCGTCGGCACCACCCGGCCTGCCGAGTCTGCCGCCAGCACCCAGTCCCCGCGATGCAGTTCCCGCAGCCCCTTCCGCTCTCCACTTCGAAGGCGCACGGTGGCATTTCCCGGAAAGCAGCCGCCCGCTCTGACCGCCAGTGAGTTATCTGCAGGGAACAAGCACAGAGAGGATCGGATGAAGAATGTTAGTACAGTTTCTCAGAGATATGTGTCAAGCCTAGCGCAGACCTCACCAGGCCCAGCACAACTGCAGTTTCCCACGGATCTGGTCCCAGCCTGGGCAGGAGTGGAAGGGTGGTTTATAACACTAACGCCCACCTTGGTCACCCCTAGAGTCACCACAGGGCTGTGCAGACTGTTTCCCGGAGAGACCCTCCTTGGCTGGACCTCACCACCCACCCCCTACTGTACCGGCTTTGACCGACACGTGGACGTGGTTGCGGGACTCGTAGTAGACCCAGTCGAAGCCGGCTTCCACTGCCAGGCGCGCCAGCAACCCATACTTATTGCGGTCGCGGTCAGACGTGGTGATGTCCAAGGCACGGCCTTCGTAGTGAAGTGAGTCCTGAGCATGGTGGCCGTCCTCATCCCAGCCCTCGGTCACCCGCAGGCGCACTCCGGGCCACATGTTCATCACAGCAATGGCCAGAGCGTTCACCCGCTCTTTACAACGCTGTCAGGGAATAAAGGAATCAGTCTCCTCACTATCACTACCACCACTGTGGGGGCAAACGGGACCTGGATGGGAGGGTCGATAATTCTGTTTTCCCATCCCCATTCCACTCGCTCCCAGCTTTTGAATGCCCTGGGGAAGTGAGAATCTGCATAGGTGTAGTCGCCAATCTGCACTCCCTCCTATAGCATCGTGGCAGAACTGTGGGATCAAGTCTGAGGCTGAGAGAGGGACACCTATACCTAGCTCTTTTCCCATTTTCGATGCCCGCACCCTAACCCCTGCTTGTCCTGGGGAATCAGCTCAACCTGGGAGAGGGCAAAGTTGAGAGGGCGGGTGGAAACTTGGTCAGGGAGTGGTTGAGCAGCCTGGCTCCCCAAGAGGAGCCCCTGTTTGAGCCTGGCCCCCCGCTGCAAGCCCTGGCTGCCCTCCCTCTGCCTGATTCATCTTTTGTTTCATTGCCTTCCCTGGCACCGGGCATCGTTTCCTTCCTTCCTTCCTTCCTCCTCCTCCTTTCGGCCCCTGGCATTAACCCTTTCACAGTGCGAGTGCCCCCCACAGAGGTGACCTAGCGGAGCTGTGCGGGGATCAAGGCTGCTAGGAAAAGGGTTAGGGTGGCGGGGGCCGCACGAAGTACAATGGCCATTCTCCGGGATGACTTAACCAAGCGAGAATCCCGGGCCGAGGCCGGGGACGCGCTGGGAGAAGCGGACTCAGCAGCTCCATCCACAAAGGCGCTTTTCAGCCACCCCGGCTCAGGGAGAGGAAAGGGCAGAAAGCCGCGCCCCCCATCTCTGCTCCGGCCACGCCAGTCCCCTCCCCCAGCTCGGCCAGCCCTCTGGGTTCCAGCTCAGTCTCTGCCAGCCCTGAGAGCCGCCATCTCTCCATCTCTGGTCCAGATGCAGCCCAGAGAGGCGGGAGAGTAGCACCTGAGAACAGCCGGAGCTGCCCTTGTGCGGATCTGGGGGGCCCCCTGCAGGGTGGGAGCGGAGAGGAGGCAAAGCAGTCTCTGCTGGAAGCCTGCACCCGGGGGAGTGAGACCACGGTTATCTTGGCCGCTCCAGTTTGGGAGCCGGAGACCTTGGCACGCACAGTAGCACGGACACCGCGGGAGGAGGTGCAAAGAGGACGGCTTCCTTCTCTTCTCCCCCTCCGACCTCTCACCTCGGACTTGGATTTCTCCTGTCAGAGGGACAATTTCCCCCTGCCCTTCTTGCAGGGTCTTCTACACCTCCACAGGGTTGGAGAGGAAGGGAGGGGAAAGACAGAAAAAGTGGTAACTCCTTCCAACTTTTTGTCGCTGTGTCCCCTACCGAGGCCTTGAGGCCTTGACCTGCGGGGGCAGTAGCCCTTTGCAGAGCCAACTCAATGGAGGCCTTTTGCAGCCAGGGTGTGGGAGATAAGCAGGACCAACAGGGTTCCCAAGCCTGTCAGAGCCCCTCCTGGGCCTGTCCCTTGTTCTGCCCCCTCTGCTGCAGGTGGCAGCCAGAGGAAAGGACCATAACATTCCATAACCAAGGAGAAAAGGGGTGTCCCCTTCCTAATCTCTGGTGGGAGGAAGGCTTCAAGGCAGGAACAAGAAGGGATTCTTTCTCTCCCGGACAGGTTTTCCCAACAAAGTAACCTGAAAAACTATGGCAATTAATCAGAGGAAATCCGTACCCCTCCCTCTCCCCCCACCTCCTCACTCCATACACAATTAGGTGGTGTAATGGAAAGTGTATAGGACTTAGAATCGGGAGTCCTGAATTCTAGTCCCAGCCATGCCACTAATTAGTTTTACGACTTTGATTAAATCGCTTTTCCTCCTGGGGCCCAGCTTTCACTGTAAAATGAGGGGTGAGGTGATGGTGGAAGAATGTGATCTTCCAGTTCTGACACTTGATATTACTGGCTGGAGGTGGTGCTTCTCTCCCACGGCATTCATTGCTCACCTCTCCCTCGGTTGGTTAGGTTCTGGTCTGCAGTAGATGCTCAATATGTGGCAGTTGAATTTATTTTAGGCATTTGATTCCAAGGAGAGCCCTGAGCTGAATCGAGCTTGGGGGCCACAAGAAGCCTTTGATTCTCAGGTGGGCACATCTGTTTTTCCCATTGAGAACTGCTTGCCCCCCCCAAGACACTTGTTTAGACTCTTGAATAACCTTGCCCTGGTTCTAGGTTGCCTCCCCCATGACAGCCTCGGCTCAGGTAAGGCCTGGCCACCTGACACTCCTTTCCCAGCCCCCTTCAGTCTCTGGCTCACAGAGCTTTTCCACAATCAGGTCAGAAAGCCAGGCTAAGGGCACAGCTCTCTGTCCACAGCCTCGCCAGCTCCTGGCCCCCAGCTCACCCCAGCCCTTCCTGCCTGGCTGGGTAGCTGACCCCCGGTCCACGCCTCAGCCATTTCCCGTCTCGCCTGCCGCCATCCCCCTTTCCCCGCCCTCACCCTCTAAGTCTCTACCAGCCTCACTCTCACTAGTCCCTCCTCCCTCTCCCCCTGTTTTGGTGTTCGGATCTCTCCTTGATCACTCTATCCAGCCAGCAGAGGTTTTATTTTGGGTGGGGTGAGGGGAGGTATTTGAGATTAAGGGCTCTATAGGTGAAGCCCAGCTCACCCTCTTGGGCTGCTATAGGAAACTAGAGACCTTGGCGCAGGTGAGGAGAGACACACCTTACCTCAGTCATCAGGCGGTCTGCGCCACTGTTCTCCTCATCCTTGAAGATGATGTCGGGATTGTAGTTGGGCACTAGGTCCCGGAAGCGCTCTGAACCCCTTGCAACCATCCCCTCCGCCGGCCCACTGGCGCCCAGGGTCCTTTCTGGCACGCTGGGCACAAATTGCTTGTAGAGCAGCGGCACAAGCTGCTTGCGCACGTAGCGGCGCCGGCCAACCGGCCCCCGGCCCGGCCCGCAGCTCTGGGTTGGCAGCGCCAGAAGTGCCAAGCAGCACAGGGGCACCAGACTGGACAGCAGCGCCATGGATGCAGTGGACTCTGGCCAAAAGAGAACGTCCTTGTCCTCACCAGCTCGCCCTGCTGTTGGACATTCCCCTGGTACCAGAGAGCGCAGCAGGCAGAACTGCCCCAGAGTGCCCTAGAGCTCTTGTGGCTCTGCGCACCTGGCTGCCACCAGCTCTGTCTGCATGCCCCCTGGGGGTCTGGAACCTGCTACTGTCTGGCCATCATAGCAGGGAAGGGGGGTCGTGGGTGAGTGCCAGCTCAGCCTGGCTCTGCCGCCAGGCTCCGGCGCTGCCACAACGCCGGGGCTCCGCCTTAAGTGGCCCCTGGCCCCGCCCTCTGCTCAGGACCGGCCCACCCCCTCCCACCAGGGCGGGGGCTCTAGCTGGTCACCACTGGTCCAGTTTGAGACTGACGTATGTCCCATCTTGGAAACTAGGCAGTTACCTGCCTACGAAATTCTAGTAGCTTTACAGTCCATTGCCTGTTCTAAGCTTGGCACCAAACCAGTCTCCTCTGATAGTTGAATTGATCTTTGCTTTCCCAAAGTCTATCCTAGCAGGCCATGTTCTCTGCTACCACCCAGGAAGTATTGGTTCCAGTTTCCCCCAAGGCCAGCCAGGCTGTTTGGCCATACATATGACCAGAGCCTCCCTGGTCTGTGGGCCTCCCCAAACCTCTGCCCTTGCCACCTCTCTTCTTCAGCAGTAACCAGGACTGGAAGGAATGGGTACCAGGGGTTATTTTCCTTAGTAGCTTTGCAGCCTTCTGCTGGGAGCTCCTCCCAGCAGCTCATAGTTATACTCTAATTTAGGACTTCAAAACTTGCTCTTTTGTTGTCTCCAGACACCCAACTTCTTTTTTCAAATGAGTAACTTATCAATTGGAAGGTGCTGAAGGGCAAGCAATGGGTACTTATTCTCTAACATGTTAATGAGCACCTTTTAACTTTCATCCAGCCACTTTTCCAGCTTTCCACCTCTCTGGACTGCCTGGGGCTCTGCTTCCAGACACTCAGGTTTTATCTCAGAGGCTTTGAGCCTGGAACATTTCACCCATCAATCACTATCCTTGAGAAATCATTCTCCAAGTGGCCTTCTTTCACGCCCCAACACTGCCCACCTCTGTATTTCCTTAAGAACCAGTAATTAACTGCCATCCATTGTGGTTTGATGTTAGAATTATGTGTCACCTTTTCTAGACAAAGCAATTAAGCACAAACTTTTATCATGTAACCTACAGTTAATTGCCTGACGTATCTATAGTAAAGTGCTCAGTGTGTATTCATGGCACCTACACTTTTTAAAAAATTTCATATTTGCCCTTCCTGCAGCTCCATAGCACCTTTGCGTATATTAGGAAAAAAGCACCCCTTCCTCATGACACCTGCCATTTAAAAAAAAAGTCCTGGTAACTATACATAAGATTACAAGGTGAATGGTGGCTCTAAAAGTTGTACAATGTACAGCCTGTGTAACCCTGAGCAGAAACTTTGTCCCTAGCCCCAACGTAGTAGAGGGCTTGTATAGTATTTAAGGGACTGACAGCCTCTCGAAAGATGGAGTTGTTTTTTTTCTCTAACAAGTAGATCACAAACCCTTGTTAGTCAGCCTCTTCTTTTACTCCACATCTAATAGTCAAGTCAGGGAGGACAGGGCTGAGGGTGTATGTGTACACAGAGGGAGGTTATCCTATCCCTGCATTCGATGCCTACCTACCCACAATAACCAAGGCACAGAAACAAGGCCATGGGCATAGAAGGCAGGGGACCAGCCAGCTCTAGGCTGCCTACTTGCGTGTCCTAACACTAGACTTAAGTCCCCAAAGGACATTAAGAATGCAGATGGGGGGGGAAGGCAAGGATGGTGGACAGGATTCCTGTTTCTTTCAGCTGACAGACTCAGGACTGAGGAGAGTAACAATGTTCAAACACAGACAAGCCCTTAAAAAACAACAACAACAAAGCAAACCTTGGGATCGACTTTATTGCTGATGGTTGTGGCCTCTTCTTCCCCATGCCCTCATATCTCTGGTGGTCCAAAGCCCCTCCAGGATAGCACAGTGCTTAGGTTCTTCTGGGCCAGAGGCAAAGGGAGACAATCTACCTCCCAAGTCTGCCCCTGCTCAGTCCCTCCCCTGTCCCCACCCCACCCTATTGCACATCAAATCATGTAAACATGGCTACGGGCATGGCCCGGAATAGCAGTGAGGCAGATTGATGTGTAAACGGATTTGGGACCAGGAGCTAGACCCAGTTACCCAGCCCCACCCCATGCTGAGGCCCATAGTTAAATCTGAAAAAGCAGGGGGGCCTGGTCCCAAACTCTGGCTCAGATTATGCAACAGTGCAGAGTGCTCAGCTCCTCTCTGCCACCCACCCCTCTCAGATTTCAGGTCCTAAGGTCCACCTACTCCTAGTGTCACTCCAGGCCTGGGCAGTAGATGGCAGTGTCCAGTTTTCTCCCTCCCACCCCCAACTGGAGGTCACTGGTGCTGGGTCTTCCTAGATGCCCTGGGGAAACCAGAGACAGGCAATGGCAGTCTGTCCAGCCCTGGAAAAGAGAGGGAGAAGGCCGTCAAAAGTGGGGCATACGCCCATACTCTGGGATGACAACCATGCCACAAAATGCATGGATGAGGGAGGTTATAAACAAAGTGGAGAGCATGCCATCTCCCCTGCTGGGATGACCACTGTCCCAGAGAGCTCCCAATCACCCCACCAACCTGTGCTCCCCACTCCCTCTCACCAAAAGCCCGGATCAGCTCTGCCCGCACAGCTGCGGTGAAGGTCTTCACCAGACAGAGAGTGGTGAGGCCTGTGAAGGTTGCATTGTAGAGGAACACGATGTAGAAATTGCCCAGCCAGTTGAAGCGTCCAAAATCACCCAGCAGGTCAAAGCGAGTGAGTCCTGAAGTACAAAGACCAGGATGAGTGGGCCCTCCAGCCCTCCAGCCCCTCCCTCGCTCAGGGTCCAGCTTGTGCTGCCTCCTGGTGGCTACATCTCAACACTGCAACGGATAGGTTGGCCTCTCCCATCAAATTATTCCTACCTCCCAAGCTCTGTTTTGGGCAGTTCTTGGCTGCTGAAAAGAGTGTCAGCAGCTAGGCTTGCTGTAACCTCCCTTCCAGAGTATGGCACGTTCTCCAATAGGGATCCCTCTGGTTCCAGGTGTACCGAAGAGCTCCCTGGGCCCACCAGTTGTTCTGGGACAGGAACCTTTAAGCTAGTCACCAAGGGTTTTTTTTTTTTTTTAATTTTTAAAGATTTTATTTATTTATCTTTAGAGGGGAAGGGAAGGAGAGAGGGAGAGAAATATCAATGTATGGTTGCACCTCGTGGGTCCCCTGCTGGGAATTGGCCCGCAACCCAGGCTTGTGCCCTGACTGGGAATTGAACCACAATCCTCTGGTTCGCAGGCCCGAGCTCAATCCACTGAGCTACACCAGCCAGGGCAGCCAAGTATTTTTTTAGTAGGTAGAGCAGTGTGGAGGTTGAACATTCTGATTCCGATGGGATTGCTTTGGTTCACATCCAAACTCCATCCCAACTAATTGCGTGATCTGGGGCATTTCCTTAAATATCTGTGCCTCAATTTCCTCAACTATGAAATTATATAGAAAAAATAATGGGACTGTGAGAATAGAATGAGACAACACACATAAAGTGCTATATGTGCCAGGCACTATTTTAACACTGACTAAGCCCTTCACAATAATATAGTATCATCACAAGTAAGATTTTGGGGGCCGTCCTCCACTTTAAAAACAATTCCTACATGGATCCAACTTACAGGAACTAACCGGTGGACCTGCAAGCCTAGTTTACTACTAAATCCTCATGGTTTAAGTATAAATGGTACAGGAGAAAGAGTATGGATTTTAAAACCAAACAGAACTATTTATTTTTTTATTTTGAGAGTATACTTATTAAAGCTGGGGACACTGGGGGGTGTGGGGAGGTAGAAGAGGGCATGGGGGGTAAATAGTGATGGAAGGAGACTTGACAGGGTAGAGAACACACAATACAGCATACAGATGATGTATTGTAAAATTATACACTTGAAACCTATATAATCTTATTAACCAAAGACACCCCAATAAATCCAATAAATAAAATACAATAAAACATCATCATATGATGTAAAAAAAAAAAAAACTGGGAACAGTGACACAAAGGAAAGGCTTATGCTGGAAGGGTAACAGGAGTGAGCCCAGACTGGGCTGTCTAGACTCAGGAAAGGAAGTCACAGTGTCAGGAAAGGAAGTTATGAAGGCAAAAGAGAGTCTTTGGAGACAAGTTAGCCTGGAAAAAAGTCAGGGGGTTAGCCTGGAAAAAACTGCTGCTGCCCACCACTCTCTGGGTTGCAAAGTTCATGGGAACTCTTAGAGCTTAGGACAGAGAAAGCAACAGTACACACCTGAGGAAAGGGAGCATGGGTGTGCTCAAGAAAGGGAACATACCCCAAGTAGAGCTAATTTAAATACTAAATCATTTATGATGTATGGATGATGATGTAGTTGGGGGGGTGCCTATGAAACTCTCACACTACCCTGGAGTGAAGTAGTTACATTTTAAAATATTTTTTAACATTTTTATCAGCTAATTCTAGATCATAGCTCTAAAGATGGGAGAAGTTGCCCTGGTTGGACAGTTCAGTTGGTTAGAGCACTGTCCCAATATACCATACAACAGGGGTGTTAAACTCATTTTCACCGGGGGCCCCATCAGCCTCATTCATGGTTGCCTTCAAAAGGCCGAATGTAATTTTAGGACTGTGTAAATCTAACTACTCCTTAACTAGGGGCAAGAAGCTTGGCACTGCCGCCAGGTAGAAACAAGGTGCCAGGCTGAATAAAACAAGGTGGAGGGATAGATTCAGCCGGTGAGCCTTGTGTTTGCCACACAAGAATCAACCAGTGAGGCCTGGCTGGTGTGGCTCAGTGGATTGAGTGCTGGCCTGTGAACCAAAAGGCTGCTGGTTAGATTCCCACTCAGGGCATGTGCCTGGGTTGTGGGCCAGGTCTCCAGTAAGGGGTGCATGAGAGGCAACCACACATTAATGTTTCTGTCTCTCTCTTTCTCCCTCTCTTCCCCTCTGTATAAAGTCTTAAAAAAAGAATCAACCAATGAATGCATAAATAAGTGAACCTACGAATTGGTGTTTTTCTTCTGTGTTTCTGTCAATTCCTCTCTCTAAAAATCATCTTTTAAATAAAGAAAGATGGCTGAACTGAACGTATTATTTAATGCTCTGGTATCTGTAAAAAGCAC